CAGGTACACCAAATCAGATCCAACATAAATTCTGACCTATGTATGTGTTCTGCAAGAAGCCTGAAAATCTGGGATCAGAGTGTGGTTTCACATTCAGCTAAACGGAATTAACAGCAGCTCCTTGATGCAGAAAAGGAGTGAACTTGCTTCTTTTCTCCTCTGCTGCTCCTGGCTGCAACTGCATGTTCTATTCACCTCTTGACCTGTGGAAAATTTTTTCTTATGGTATTTTATAATTGAATCAGCAAGGGGGAATCTGAGCATGAAAACTGATGCAATATAAATGTAGGAGAGGATGAGCTGAAGGAAATCTGAGGGAGAGATGGAAAAGAGGGCAAGTGGGAGCTCCCTCTGTAGGTTGCAGTGAACCGTTAGGCCAAGCTATTATGTCTATGAAACAATTTTAGAATGTGGCTTTGCATTATACTTAGTCTGAAGCAACCACAGGCTGCCATCAGAAAAGAACTATCCTGCTATTATCCCAGCCAGGCAGCTCCTAATAACCTGCATTATGCTGCATCTAGCTCATGTGCAGCTGCAAGGTGAATTGGACCAATTTATTAATTAAATGGAAAACTAAGACAGAGAAAAACTGATTCCTTCCCCCTCTCTGAGTCTACCTTTTGTTTCATGGTTGCTGGATCTCATGAAAAGGAGGGGAGTGGAAATACATGATTAGGAATTATAGAAACATGGAGGAAGTAGATCCAGGACCATTCTCTTCAGCAGCTGCATTATATTTAGTGTGAACTAACATGAAAATGCACCATGGGTTATTAACCTTGTCCTTACAGTTTGAGGAAATATAGAGGTGTTGAAGAAATTTCCCTCACTTTTTGTGCTCTGATTTTATATATTAGGATTAAAAAGGAACTTTGCAATCCACATGCTTTTAGGAATTTGTCTTCAGGCTTCTGTTGCTTCCTCTTCCTATGAAGAGGACCTGCCAGCTCTCAGTTTGTGAGAAAACCAGAGTCTTTCCTGTTCCTGGGTTAAGTAGCTGCAGTAATTCTTCTGCTGTTTACAACTAAACGTTATTTTGCTAACTCTGAGGAACTGTATGTATGAAGTTCCCTAGGGATTGCAGCAGTGGTGCAGTGGCATGTGACAGGAAAGGCGGTTCATAAGCAAATGGGGTTAGTGACAAAGGGCTGTCCACCCCACACAGAACACTAGCTTAAATTCCTAACTGTAGACGTGACCTTTCATGCTAAGAAAATAGTAGTGTGTCCTCAAAAGCAACCGTTCAAACATCTTTCTACCTTTTTCTTTATTAGCTAAACTCCTTTGAGCAGTTGTGTATTAACTACACAAATGAAAAGTTGCAGCAGCTCTTTAACCACACCATGTTCATTCTGGAGCAAGAGGAATACCAGAGGGAGGGCATAGAGTGGAATTTCATTGACTTTGGCCTGGATCTGCAGCCCTGCATTGATCTAATAGAGAAGCCGGTAAGCTTATTCTTCTATTGTTGAACAGCAAGACATGGCTGTGCTAATTTTGTCCTTGAGCACATAACCTCTACCTGTAGACTGGAAACTAGCTTTCTAGCTTTTGTAGTCCTCTAATGACACTGTGGTATGCTTAGAAGCAGAAGTGAACAGTTTCCTCTTTGTCTGAAAGTGTCATCAATAGAACTGTTGGTATCAGTTCTGTAGGAAATACTGCATGAAAATAGATCTAGTTGACTACTTTTTCCTCTCACAAAATTGTCTTGGTTTGTGTAGATCTTCATGGTGCCAGATGTATGTGTGGCTTACCACAAGTACTGTGAAATTCCTTACTTAGCTACAGGTGTGATGAGAAGCTGTGAATCTCTGTTGCTTTCATACTGCTCTAATGAAACTTGGAATTTTATAAATTTCATAATAGATGTTCCAATAGTAAAGACTAGTTTGTGAAATGTTCTGCTATGGTCTTCTGCATTTAGACACATGGATATTTGGAGAACAGTGTGATAGCGTTCCTTCTGTTAAACAGGTTGTGGGATTTTTTTCCCCATAAAACAACCTAGACAAATGTCATGGAAGAGACCTTCTCATAAAAATGTTCAGAATTCAGATGAAGGCTTTGGAAGATTTATTAACAATTTCTGTTAGTGTGGAAGTAGTTGGACTGATACCACACAACAGGTGAATGTGATGGTGATCAGGCTTAACTTTTTTTTTTCCCCCTAGCCATCTAAGGGTGTCGATTATTGGTGTAGTCATGTATTTAATGATGTTTTGATGTTTCCCTCCTTTAAGGCTGGGCCACCTGGTATACTGGCCCTGCTGGATGAAGAGTGCTGGTTCCCAAAAGCAACAGACAAAAGCTTTGTGGAAAAAGTTGTACAAGAACAAGGCACCCACCCCAAATTTCAGAAGCCAAAACAGCTGAAAGACAAGGCTGACTTCTGTATCATACATTATGCTGGCAAGGTAAAGAATTAGTAGCTAAAATGTGAACTTTGGAATGTCTGCTGTGTTTTTTAATGCATAACTAGTGCTTCTTAGAAATGGCTACTTTACAAAATGGCTGCCTGCAGCAAACCAGTGGAAGACTTCACAAAGTTGTTCCATTGCTGTGGACCTGACAGGGCCTAAGGGGATCTGCCTGCAAATTGTATATGTATAGTTGAAGACATCTCAAACTGACATGAATTGAGATTTGTTCTACCATCTCACTAAGTCACAGAGGTACTTTTCAGAAACCTTGCCTCAAGACTTCATCACCAAAAATGATGATGCAGTTGCTTTGTGTCACACTCTGGGTGGTGCAAAGTAGCATTGCAAATCCATTCCCTTTACTGACAGAACAGAACATGCAGCTGTTTTTTAGGGTTTGAAATTTGTAAGTATGCTTGCTTAGATGGTAAATCCAAGAATGATTAGGTAATCTGTTGTTGATTGTGCAAACCTCAGTGCTACTTTTATAGACTTTGCAGGATCTTGTTGCATCTTGTGCTGCAGAAAATCCCCACCAAAGTTTCTTGACGTGTTTATCTTCTCCAGGTGGATTATAAAGCAGATGAATGGCTGATGAAGAATATGGATCCACTGAATGATAACATTGCTACTCTTCTCCACCAGTCGTCGGATAAGTTTGTGTCAGAGCTGTGGAAAGATGGTATGTAATTAAACTTAATCTCATTTGTTTTCTCTTGTTTTATGTGGAAGAGTTTGTTTGATCATTGAAAGTCTGTGATGAGCTGTGTTGCTTTTTTCCCTGAAGACTAAGCCACCAAGATGAGCATTATCTGGAACATCCTTTGCTTGGATCATGGTATTGTATTAAAAGTTCACTGTGACTCAAGAGAAAGGTTCACTTGCATCAACTTATGTTAAGCTTGCTGCATATATGGTAATTATTTCTTGAAACTGAGAATGCCAGGATAAAATACAAATGCACCATTGCATCCTAGCGGCTTGCAGAGCTGCAACACTCGAACACAAGATCTGAGGTTGAATCTACATTTTCAGTCCTGCAACTAGTGTGTTCTTGCTCCAGTGTTGTTCAGTATTTTACTCTTTATCTTCTCTGGGTTTATCTGCTTTTGACTCTTACTGTTGCTATCACTTTCTGTGGTGGGTTTTCTTTGACGTCTCTGTCTGTTGCAGAGATGCAGAACGTTCAGAGAGCCTATTTCTATCAACACTTTCCTATTCTTCATCTAGAACCAGGTGACTGAGAAACCCAGCTGTCGTGTCATGTGTGTAATGCATCCTAGAGCCATGCAAGAAATGCTTCCGTTAACTTCTCTTTGTCCCTTTGTCATACCTGCTTGTCTTTCTTGTTCATTTCCTCTGCTTTGTGCTAGTAGCTCCTCACGGACTTTAAAACGAAAGCAAAACTCTCACCTTGCAAGTGGATACAAGAAAAATATGGACATATTCAGGTGCTAAAGGTTGCTCTTGCAAGACTTACATAGAACAGCTAAAAGCGAATCCCTGTCAACATAGAGCTAGAAAGGCTGTATTTCTTGCAAGATTTGGAAGGAAGATTTCAGAGACTGCATTTAAACTGAAATCCAGTTTAACATTGATTCTAGCATTGGGATTTGACTTCAGCTGCTGATCATTTAAAAGAGTTAGTTTGGCAAAGGAACTTGTACTGCATGAAAAATGGCTGTCAGCAACTTGTGCCTAACAAGGCCTTTGCTGTGTGAGACTCCTTTTGGACTCAGAATGTCAGCTGAACTACAGCTGATCAGTTCTCATTTATTTTTCTTAGCAGCATCTTCTGTTGCAAGTGATTGTCCTTTTTGCTATCTTGATGTAGATTGCAGGGCTCAAGATTTTTAAGAGGATTGTTCCAGCCGCAATCTGGGACACTCTTCTATGGATTTCCCTGTGATGTCATCTAGTAACATAACCTTCTTTTCTTTCCGATAAGGCAACCTTGACCCTATTCTAACAGCTGCTCTAGAAATGAGCAGTTCTAAACTAATATTAGCTGTTAAATCAGAGTATCCTTTCTTATTTCTTCTTTTGTAGGGGTTTCTTTTAACAGGTTTCGTTGGTTTTTGTTTGGTTTTACTTATTTATTTTTTTTTTTTAAATCAGAAGCCATTTGAGCACAAGCTGATGTATTTTCTGAAGTGAGGATTGGGAGACTGAGTGTAGGCATCAGCCAACCACTAAAGATAAAGTGAAGCAGCAGTAGCTTGAAGCCCCTAGTCAACATGTACTGGGTGTGTGGAAATTCATAGTGATACAGTTTGTTTTGGTTGGTTGGGTGAATCTGTGTAGAAGAGCAATGGGAAAGAGTAATGCTTTAGTTTCTTCTTGCCCCTGCTACTCTCAGATCTAGCTGGCTTCTATTGAAAAAAGGATCTGTGGAGTCCACCCATCAAGGCAATAGCTTCATCAGTGCTTGGATGTCACTGTGGCATAGTGGAGAAACTGTTGGGACAGGGAGTTCTGACTTTCTCCTAGTGGTATTTTTCATGTCTCTGTCACAGAATACTTGTCCTCCAAAAATAACTCGGACAGTGGTATCTTGAGGTTTAGTTTCTATCATGCATTGTACCATGCCTTTTACCATGTTTACTCAGTTTACAAGTAGACATGGCTTTTCTGATCATTGGTCATGCAGTTCTGCCTGTAATGCAAGAGTGAAGCTGGGCTTTTTCTCTAACTGTGGCCCTTTCTGGGTCAGGGTTAACTAACAGTTGACTCTGCTGGGCTAGCAGCTAGAACTCTTGGTCTGTGTTTTTTCTTTGTAATCTAAGTAAGTAGAAGCATCTGAAACTCACTTCTAGATTGCTCTTCCAGAGCTGCCATCCAGAGCATCAGTAGAATATGTTTGGGATTAAGTTTGATTCCATCACTCAAACTTCCTGTAGCGAGCTGTTGCTTTTTTTCCTTCCTGCTCCCATCCCTGCACAAATTCTGTACAGGAGTCGACATCTGTGTAGAGATGAAGCAAAAAGGATCCTGCAGCTCCTCTCATTTATCCTGTTCTACCCAGTTGTTCTTTGTAGATTCCAACACTTCCTTTCTTTGTTTTTTTGTATTGTTGGGCTGGATCAGGTAGCTGGCATGTCAGATACAGCATTGCCAGGGGCCTTTAAAACCAGGAAGGGTATGTTCCGAACGGTGGGACAGCTCTATAAAGAACAGCTGGCTAAACTGATGGCTACCTTGAGGAACACCAACCCTAACTTTGTCCGTTGTATTATCCCCAACCATGAGAAAAAGGTAAAGACCGTTATAACAGTACAGCCCATGCAGTCTTACATGGGCTTCCGGGGGCATGTGGCTGGGTTGCTATCTTTTGTCAGGTTTTGCAAGAGATCTTAAAGATGTCCTGTTTTCTCAAGATGTCTTTTTAAGGTCATCCTAAATAACTGTATACTTACCACAGTTTTGGAGACTGATCATTGCAGTCCTTAAGGTGTCATAAAAGCTTTCAATTGCTGCTGACTGCAAAAGAGAGAACTGGCTGCTTTCCAAAAAAGAGGGGGAGGCAAGGGGGTAAGCCCCTTTTGTAAAAGCTTCATGGTATTTATAAAATATGCTTCTTCCTCACTAGGCTGGAAAACTAGATCCCCACTTGGTCCTCGACCAGCTTCGCTGTAATGGAGTGCTGGAAGGAATCCGTATTTGTCGTCAAGGTTTCCCCAACAGAGTTGTATTCCAGGAATTCAGACAAAGGTAAGGCCTAGAAAAGAATCTCAAGCAGTCTTTACTCTGGCAAAGTTAAGACATAAGTGCAAAAATTGAAGTATTTTATTGCAACTAGATTGCCACTGTTTTCAAAGGCAGCAACACACAACATCTATCCCTTGGTATTTTCTGGCACAAGGCCTCCCAAAAGCATTTTTGACTTCTCTAATAAGCATGTAGTTAAGGTGAGGCATGGAGGACCCCATCTAAGACTGCTGTTCATACTGTGTTGTCTAGAGGTGCAATTTTTTTTTCTTCTAACAAGACCCTAAGCTGTCAAACTCATAATGCCATGGGAATGCATTACTGGTTGCTGCTGTTGTTGTTTTCAAATATACTTGTGTAACTAGTCTAATGCTTTCTACTTTTCAGATATGAAATTTTAACTCCAAATGCAATTCCCAAAGGATTTATGGATGGAAAGCAGGCTTGTGTGCTGATGGTAAGACATCCCAGAAACCTATGTGAATAGAATAAACTTTATGGATGTGGTGTGGAAATTGGAGTTGTGCATGTTAAATATATCTTATACTCGCAGACCAAAATTCCAAAGTCAAATGGTTTGTCTGAGAGGAGGGTGCAAAAAGCTGTCTCTTGGCTTTGCAGATGGAGGCTTTTGACTAGCATGAGGTTCAATAATCTTAGGCAAAGAGGGTCTTTCTGTTTTCACAGATGCACACACTTTGAGATCCAAGCAGTATTCATGGAATGAAAATGCTTAGAAGCATTAATGTTATCTTTAGCACACGGTTAAAGTATGAGCTTCAACAAACTTTTTGTAATGGCCTGCTGATGACAGATGCTTTCAGTGAAGGCTCCAATTAATTTCTGCAGAATTGCTTGCTTCAAAGGGAAAGCTTTGGCTCTGGAGCTTGAAGACTGAATTGAATTTGGCTGTAAGGGATTCCCTTTTTTCTGTCTTAAAGTAGTGTACCTTATTCCTCTTAACTAGTATAAGTGTTGACAGTAAATCCTTTAAAGGACAGGAAGGTTGGTTGAGATGTCTTTTTCTGACAAAGATTAGGACTGGGAAAAAATAAATAGGAAGTATCAACAGATGTGTTTCCTTTAGCAAAGGAAGAGGGCTCTTGGGGCTAGACATGTTCCTCACAGCATCCTTGTAGTTCTGGGTACCTGATATGGTGTTGCATTAAACAATGCTTTCTGTCATATCTTCTGTTTCCGATTACCTCCATTTCATGCTGTGCTTGGCTGAGCTCCAACTCCTCTAATTGGGACAGGACTTGATTGGGAGCTAGCAATTTTGTTGGCCTGAGTGGCTCATTGTAGGGAAGGGGTATCTTTCAACCATGAAACACAAATATGTTTTGTGATGCTTCATGCAAAGCAATCTTTGCAGGAGATGAATTCTTCTCTTTCTCATTTTAGATCAAAGCATTGGAGCTGGATTCCAACCTTTATCGAATTGGACAGAGTAAAGTGTTTTTCAGAGCTGGAGTCCTTGCTCATCTTGAAGAAGAGAGAGACCTGAAGATCACAGATGTCATTATTGGCTTCCAAGCATGCTGCAGAGGCTACCTGGCCAGAAAGTAAGGACCGTATTTTGTAAAGTACATTATAAATATATGTATTTCTCCTGTTCAAGTACAAGTTGCTCTTCAAAAAAAGCTGACTAGAAATACTTTTTTGTCAGAAAGTCTGATTTATTTGTTGTATATAATAGTTGATGGTTGGTTTAAGATTTTCTGATCTCTGTAACACTGGACTTCTGGCACCTGCAGGAAACTCATTGTACCGCTATCCCACACGCTACCAGAGCAATAAAGTCTATTCCTCTCTATAAGAATACTATACAGCAGGTGAAGGTTTTGACAGAAGAGCTACAAACTGCAAATGTACAGTACTAATAGTACTGATACAGGTGTAGTAGGATTTCTCTTAAGCTATTGGGTGGGACTGGCAGGAAAACACACCTCTGTTTCAGATCTCCCTTTTTTGAAGTGGAACCAGTGAGTCTTTTCAGATTAGAAGACATTAGAGAAAAACTTTATTAAATAGGAAATTGAATAAGGGAAAGGATAACCACTCTTACCTGAGCAAAAAAGAAAAATTTGAAAAGATAGAGGAAGTTAACTGGAAATTTTGCTGGTTTTTTTGGAGGGAACCTTCTAAAGTAAAAATGTAGAAGTATCTAAGAAAGGGCTTGGTGGAGAGAACTTTGTGCCACTGTGGGTTCCTTTATCTGACCTCTGTTTACCTTGCAGAGCCTTTGCCAAGCGCCAGCAGCAATTGACAGCCATGAAAGTGCTTCAGAGGAACTGTGCTGCTTATTTGAAACTGCGGAACTGGCAATGGTGGAGGTTGTTCACCAAGGTAATGTTTTTCCCTTTGCAATTTTGACAGTTTGGTTGCAATTTCAGCTTCTCGGGTTGAAGCAGAGCACAAAACCCATTTCCTCTACAACTGGGCTGGCTTGCAACTACACCTTGATTCATTTAGGTAGAGAATTTCATAGCATATTTTATAGCTATGCAGTATGCCTACATAAACCAAGTGCAAGGCTATATCCAAGTAATGTGGTGGTAGAGCAGAAGTCGTATTTTGATGCTTTATGCCTAAGAGTTGTAAGAGGATAGCTTGCTTTGGTGGTATGGCACTTCAAAGAGTCACTTACTGTGTGGCTAGTCAATTTAGCTAGACAAAAATTGTTAATATGAGGTTGGCTTGCCATCTCTTTCTCCAGGGTTGTAAGAGCAAAGGAAAAGTACTGAGGTCTGATCTTGTTAGACTTGTAGATATTTTACCTTTATAAAGCAAATGAACACATGAAGAAATGGTCTCTAAATGTATGGGATTTTTTGCTTTTTAGCCATGCGACTTTGCAGCTAAATGAGAGTTGAGAGCAGAGTTTAAACTTTTCTTTCCTATGAAATGACTTCTAAGGGTTTTTGATGGGGGAGCACAGAGATGGGCGGTGTTTGGGTTTTTGTTTACATTGGCCTACCTGTGAATTTCCCCACTGTATGGCAACTTTTTTATTCTCCTGCTATTACTACTTAGCCATTGAGGGTCTGGAATTTCCCTGACCCTTTCCTTGATGCATCTCTTCCTGGAGCAAAAGTTGGGCAGGGAGAAAATGAGTTACTGGTAGAGTAGATCATATCTAGTCCTCTCTGATCCTCCCGGTGTTCACAACAAAACAGTTGGTCAATCCTTCGAATATGACACTTATCTAAAATGTTCAGTGCTTATCAACTACAAGAGCATTTCTTCATGTTTTCCTTGTTCCTCATACACATTTCATTCCCTTGGTTTCTGTTTCAGGTGAAGCCCCTTCTGCAAGTAAGCAGACAAGAAGAGGAGATGCTGGCCAAGGAAGAAGAACTAATAAAGGTCAAGGAGAAGCAGCTAGCTGCAGAAAACAGACTGAGTGAATTGGAGACCTTCCAGGCCCAGGTGAGTTTGCAAGTCTCATTCTCTCTCTACCTGGCCAACTGTTTGAGAGCACCTCCTTTGCTTTATTAGTCTGATAGACAGGCTGTTGGATTCGAGTTTTTTGAAATATGTGACTTGGCTGCCATCTTGTTCAATTTCTTTAGCCCTTCTTCCCAGCTCAGTTGCTCTAGCAGGTCATTTTGTACAGTGACCACCTATTGCCATACTATAGCCATTATGTGAAGAAAAGTCTCCTTTGGCTGAGTGTTATAGCAAGCTGGATGAATTCAACCTTGTCATCAATGGAATCCTTTTTGTTTGGAACACAGAAGATGGCAGCAGGATTGTTTTTCTGTAGGGCTGATAGTTATTTGTGTCACTTTTGCAGGACAAAACTGGGCAGCCTCCTTATTTCATATGGTTGTGGTCTTGAGAAATTTGTTAAGGCTAACATATTATGTGGTGGCAGTGCATGGTTTGTGAAGAACAAACGCTTTAAAACTATGCTTTTATATTTAGCTTTTATTTAGCAGCAGGAGACTGCTGCAATGATTAAGCCTGTAACTGTGGAACACAGGAGCACATAACTTCACTTAACACAGATTGCTAAATCCTTTGGTAAATTGGAGCTTGTCTTATTTCTGGCTTTGTGTTCATTGTAGCTAATGGCAGAGAAGATGCAGCTGCAGGAACAGTTGCAAGCAGAAACTGAACTCTGCGCTGAAGCTGAGGAGATAAGAGCCCGCCTGACAGCCAAGAAACAAGAACTGGAGGACATATGTCATGATCTGGAAGCAAGGGTGGAGGAAGAGGAAGAACGGTGTCAACATCTGCAGGCTGAAAAGAAGAAAATGCAGCAGAACATCCAGGTAATGCCTAAGGAATGCTGCCTCTAGTCAGTAAAGAGGATTGTAAGGGTTAGAGTGGTTCTTTTGTCTCAGCTTGGAAGGAAACGGGAAAGATGGAGAACAAACAAAAACAAGCAGAGAAAAATCTGTCTGTGGAAACAGCAATAGAATACAGCGATTCTGGTGCTGAGCCCGAGGCATTCAGTCATCTGGAACGAGCTGTTCCGTTCTTGAAGATAAAGATGATGGCCGCTTGTCAAATAATTAGACAAGTCTTTGCTTAAGCCAGGTGTTTTAGGAATGGTAGTATTTTCTTTGCAAAATAACATTGTTTGTTCTGCTAGAAAACCTGTTTGTTAGAATGCAGTATGTTGTATTAAGTCATGACAGAGACATCACTTCTGGAAAGTACTAATACCACCTGGAAGGAAGGGTAAAGAAACCTTCCAAGTTCTAGTATTGCTACTGTACTGTTACATTGGTTAGTGAGCAGCACTGACAAATGCCTTGCTTTTCTGTGGGTGTTGTGAAGGAACTAGAGGAGCAGCTTGAAGAAGAGGAAAGCGCAAGGCAGAAGTTGCAGCTAGAAAAAGTGACCACAGAGGCCAAACTGAAGAAACTGGAAGAAGATGTGATAGTTCTGGAAGATCAGAATCTCAAATTGGCAAAGGTAAGACTCCTACAGATTCTTACGCAGGCTGATGATGCACAGGTGTTTCTCCTGGAGCCACCCACCAAAGGCTGACCTTTCGCAGGTTACAGGGAAATTTAGGAATGAATTCAGTCTTGTCTTTGATAACTCTGACCTGAGTTTTTGAAATAAGCTGCCTGCCTGTATTCTTTACAAGTCACTGTTGTATGATATTTAAATAGCCTTTACTAAATAGCAATCCATGAGCAAACGTTTTTCTGATACATTGTTATGCCAAACAGTATCAAGTTATTTCATAAACAGACCTCCCTTTCAGTTTTGAGGGCTATCAAATACAAATCTTTAAGCAACCATTTATTTGAATACTACCTGAAATCCTGAAAGGATTTCTTTCATTCCAAGTTCCCTTGTAGCAGGCGTAGGCACTCATGACATTGACATCTTTAAGCACAGTCAGCTCTGGAAAAATTTCCTGTAATTCCAGCATCTGTTTTGACACTGCCTTCTCAATTCTGCAGGAGAAGAAACTGTTGGAAGACAGAATGTCTGAATTTACAACGAACCTGACAGAGGAAGAGGAGAAATCTAAGAGTTTAGCCAAACTCAAGAATAAGCATGAGGCCATGATCACAGACCTTGAAGGTGGTTTTAGTTTTTTGTTTTTTTTTTTAAAGGCAGATCCTGCAGAGGACTTGCCTGTTTAGTTTTAGGTGGTTTCTAGTTAAAATTTGTTGAACTTCAGTTTCATTTCTAGACTTTTAGACCTTCCCAGTTTCTGAGGGGTTAAAAATTAGTCTATAGTGTGTATGCTATCGATTGGTTTGATAGAGCTGTTCAGTGGCTGGCTGAAGGTTATGTCCCTTGTCAGCTGAGCCCTTGATCTAAATAAAAATCCTCAGCAAAGCAGCAGGCCAATGGAGAAGAGAGGCTGGTTCTCTTTCTTCTCCTGCTGTGAAAGTGTCTCCACTTTTCTACTTCCAGCAGCATCAATCTGTCCGGGTTAGTGCTGTTTCTGATACCCTGTTCGCACAAGTTCTTCAGAGTTCAAGCTGGAGGCACTTCATCTGGAGTCTGCCCAGGTTAACACAGCAGGAGTCAGCCTGTTTAGTTTCAGTAAAGGGAGAGCAGACCTTGTGTTCAGCATCACTTAATGGGTGCTTATGCCTGTGTGGTGTGGGCGTTGGGAGAGGCTGGCATTGTTTATTACGGTGAAAGAGGGGAAGGAGGTTTGGCTGGAAGATGAGAGAAAGAGAAATTGCAAATATGGCAAAATATGGGGGCAGTTGCATGTATAGGTCCTGACAGAATAATGCACTCCGGCTACAGTTTGGATAGTTGTATTATTAAGAAAGAAACTACTGCTTAAATAGCTTTCTTTTCTCTGCTTGTACAATATTCTTTGAGTATGTGTTGTCGGTATAACTTAATGTGTCTCCATCTCTGTCAGAACGTCTGCGACGTGAAGAAAAGCAGAGGCAAGAGCTGGAAAAGACTCGTCGAAAGCTTGAAGGGGACTCCAGTGATCTGCATGACCAGATTGCTGAGCTGCAGGCTCAGATTGCAGAACTCAAAATGCAGCTGGCCAAGAAGGAAGAGGAGCTGCAGGCAGCCTTAGCTAGGTGAGAACCTGACCTGAGGGGGTTCAGGGACCACCAGGTTGGGAAGTATTTCTTGTCTTGTGTCACTTTGGACTAGGGACTAAATGGAACCTGTAGCTGTTGTTGTATTTCAGCCTGTGTACTGTTAAGATCCATGTCCTCAGCATCAGAGTTCTTTGGCTGCTGCTCACTGCCATGCTCTCTGTACAGAGCTAGACTATGAATGTAACGTGCACTGCACATGTTTCACTGGAGCAGTAAGATTTCAGATGGGGTTAAAAACTAGTGGCAACACACTCTCTCTGGTAGTTGCTATATTCAGAAAAGTGTCCAATTTCCAATGTAAAATGGTGCTTTCTCTTCTGCTTTCTTCTGTTGTCAGTCTCTCTCTGTCCCCTTCCTTAAGGTAAGTAATCGTGCTCTCACAAGTATTGAGAAATAGAACTTAAAAATTGTAGATGATATATGGATCAAAATTTGAATGTAGTGTTGTAGAACTGACCAATACCAGCTTTTTTCTTGACTATTCTTGGTAGGACAGGGGGTTTTAATTTACATGTGGTTTAAATCTGGCTCTGACCATAAGCCTATATTGAACACAGGGTGGAAGAAGAGGCAGCTCAGAAGAACATGGCCCTGAAAAAGATCAGGGAACTCGAATCCCAGATCACTGAGCTGCAGGAAGACCTGGAGTCAGAGAGAGCATTCAGGAATAAAGCCGAAAAACAGAAGCGGGATCTGGGAGAAGAGCTGGAAGCATTGAAAACAGAGCTAGAAGACACGCTAGATTCTACGGCTGCTCAGCAAGAGCTCAGGTAACTCCAACACGTAGCTGTGTTGTCTTATTTGGTTTTGGTCTTGACTTTAATAAATGCTGCCGCATCCAGTCTCTTACCAAAGCAAGTCTTTGCCTTTATCAGGGTAGGCTGGTTAGCAACCTCAGTACCTACAGAAGGAGGTAATGTGCAAACTGTAGTCAAGGCTGCATTACCTCACCTGATACAAGAAAGTTAGTTTGCTCCCTAACTGTAATGTTGGGTGATAGCCCTGAAACATCCATCCTTTCAGGCTATTACTACTTGGGCTGAAAGTAATGCTGCCAGCCTGCACTTAAGAAGGGTTCAATGCTAAGTTCTAACTTTGAAAAGTGTCTTTGTAGCTTGTTGGGCTAAACAGGCCTTGATGGTTTTCTGCATTAGAGATGCTTTTGGTGGATATACACATCTGTTTGATTTTCTCCTTGGCATTTAAATGCAATTTATGAATTTTGCAGGTCAAAGAGAGAACAAGAAGTAACAGTTCTGAAGAAGACCCTTGAAGATGAGGCAAAGAGTCATGAGGCTCAAATCCAAGAGATGAGGCAGAAACATTCACAAGCTATTGAAGAGCTGGCAGAGCAGTTAGAACAAACCAAACGGGTATGTGGAACAGAAAACGCAAGGCCAAAGCAGTCAACCTTCCTGAAGTGATAGCTGCTCTATGACCATGTCTTAAAGCTGCAGAAGAACATCAAGTGTTCGTGATACTAGGCTTCTGATAGATGTGCTGCTCTTCTCTTGGTAGATCATTTTTCACTATGAAGCATATATGAAGTTGTTTTAAATAGTTGCATTCATTCTTTTTTTTCCCATCAGGCATGTTATACTGCACAGCCAAGACATTCTTTTCACTGCTAGCACTTGTTGACTTTTACAACCTTTAATTTGGAAATCTGATGGTGCAAGACTGTCTCCTGCATTACTGTCTTCTCTGACTGTTAGATTGTCTCCTGCTTATCTGTGACAGGCTGTTCAAATTGATTTTTCTGAGTAAGCAGTCTATATCTTAGCTGCTACAAATGCAACATTAGCTTGCTTGTTGGGGGGTGGGGTGGAGTGGAAATGTACCCAGTGGAAAGATCCTGCCATATCTAAAGTCTGAGGGGTTTTGGTATTTTTTTTCTCCTCTTCAGGTGAAAGCAAATCTTGAAAAAGCAAAACAAGCTCTGGAAAGTGAGAGGGCTGAACTGTCCAATGAGGTGAAGGTTCTTCTGCAGGGCAAAGGGGATGCTGAGCACAAGCGGAAAAAAGTAGATGCTCAGCTCCAAGAACTGCAGGTGAAATTTACAGAAGGTGAAAGAGTGAAGACCGAACTGGCTGAGAGGGTTAACAAATTGCAGGTGAGTGGCATGAATTTTCCATAGCTTCTGATTCAGCCCAGGGCTAGAGAAAAAAGGTTGTAAGATGGTACCTCCCCACAGGTAGTTCAAATACCTTGTTCATCCTGAGGATAAAATTCCTACAAAAAGCAAATCCATAGTTTGCTTCCCAAGGACTATGCAAACTCCTTAATTCATTGCTAGGGCAGGACCTTCGGACTGATGTTGCTTACCATGAGTAGCCCTGAGAAGGCGAAGCAACCAGTTGCCATTTGAGTTTTTTAAGCCTTAAAGTATCAGCATGTCATCTGCCCTTCAGCATGCAGCAGTTTGTACAGTACAGTTCTGTAAACATTCAGCTGCTTGTGAACCTAGAGTGGCACAAACAGACTGATGATTGTGTAACTAATTTGGAAGAGAGTGTCTTGAAGCTTTGTAATGTGGTTGGTGGTGATGAGGGGTGGCTCAAGGGTGATGTGGAAATTTAGGGTTTTCTCCTCCTTTCTTCTAGGGAACAACAAATCCCTTTGATTCATACTGAATACTGTCTTCTGCCTTCTCCTTTATGGAGGGTTGTAATCAAAAGTTGAGCATTGCCGGTGTGTGCACTATGTTCTGGAGTGTGTGAAAACGTAATTTTGAGACTCTAGATATAGGATATAGTCCCAAATCAGATAGTATGAAATAGAAGAGAGTTAGTTTAATAGAAGCTTTTCAAATTCTTGCCAGGCTGCCTAAAATCTCATATAGGCCTTAAAAAACCCAAACCAACCAAAACCAGAAGGCTGTTGCAACAGAGGTGATACCAAGTAAAAGTCTTTTCAACTTTTCATGTTTCATCCCTGGGACTTTGGCAATGATGCATTCATTCCCCTGAGAGAATATATATGTGCCCTACTGTTGAGACGTGCCTCAGGTTTCACTTTCAGGTATCATAGCTGCTCACCTGTTCCTGGCTTTGTTTTTGTTGATGCATTTAATAACTCCTACTCTAATGTCTCCTTCAGGTCGAGTTGGACAATGTCACAGGTCTTTTGAACCAGTCTGACAGCAAATCAATCAAATTAGCAAAGGACTTCTCTGCTCTGGAATCACAGCTTCAGGATACACAGGTGAGAGCTTTGGAATCCAAGGCATCTATGTGTGGTGCAGCCAGTGTCTGTTACAAATTCTTAAAGTGAAGAATCACTCTATGCACCATTAAATACTGGATATACAACACTTCAAAGGATTTGGTCTGGCTTTTTTTGCTAAGGAGTTATGTCCCATGATATTGAGAGCATTTCTACAGAAACAAGCTGTTTATTTTCCTTCCACTTCCTCAGTATGGGGAACGTATGTAACTTTCCCTGTCTTAGATTTAGAAGTCCTCCACTATCACCTTGCTGCTTGAAAGCTCTTTAATACTAGAACTGCACTGGAATGCTAGGTTCTTGTTTGACATCTTCATAGGTATTTACAGGGTTTTTGCATGTGTGTGTGTGATTTCTGGTAAATTTGTCAAGTTAAGCAGAAAATTTTATTTCCCAGTGGATGCTGGAGAAGTGATAGATTCAAATAATTTGGTATTTTTTCAGGAAAATATCATGCTTAGTCTTATACTTTGGGATAAAACAAACATTTCCAGTTAATAGAATATGACTCTTTTGGTAAAGCATGGAGTATCAAGAAGAAGGTTGGAAGGGAAAGGAAGAGTGTGCCAAGACAGGCATACTGAGTAACCTTGAACAGTCGTTGATGTTCTGTCTACTTATTACTCCTTTTAAAAAAACAGACTCAAATATAGTGCACTAATACAAAGAATATGCACTAGTTTGAAGACTGGCCTTACTAGTTTCTACAGATCCTTCAGCTCAAGCTCTGGTAGCATACGTCAATAAATGTTGATGCCCTAAGTTGGTAAATAACCAGCATCTTAAAATTCTGCTAAGACCAAGGTTGTTTTTAACCATGCTAAATCACTTTAGTCTGTTGTCCATTTCTTTGATACTGGAATATGAGAAAGTCATGTAGCAGAGTACAGTCATGCTATTGTTGGGAAAGGTTTTAATGCTTTGTGTGCTACTCAGAGGACTCCAGAAAGGACTGTTGATGGCTTGTGTGGTGAAGTAGTATACTTTAATCATTAGAGTGTACGAAAGAATAGGACCCTTCTGAATATTTTCTTTCTATACTACTCACTGGAAGACAATTCTTTAAATTCTGTCTTTGGTTGTCTTATCTGTGAAATAAGTTGCATACTTAAACGCAACTTCAGAAGTACTCATTCTGGAGAGTGTGGGTGAGGATTGTGAGCCAAGGAGCAGTGCTGAATTCCATTGGGGTGTTTGCTTTATAGGAGCTGCTGCAGGAGGAGACTCGCCTAAAACTGAGCCTCAGCACTAAGCTGAAGCAAATGGAGGATGAGAAGAACAGTTTGAAAGAGCAACTGGAAGAAGAGGAGGAGACAAAGAGAAACCTGGAGAAACAGATTTCTGTTCTTCAGCAACAGGTACAGAGTTTGCATCCCATAAACCAGTGACTTCTGAGAGGAAGTGTAAGTGCAGCACTGTCTTGAAGGAAGTAAAATTTAAATGCAGAATTGACTTATAGTAGCAGAGTCTTTCCTGGGAAAGGGTGATCCTGCTGATTTGGGTGAGAGAGGAAATAAAGAGATCTCTGATAATCATACAAACTGCTTGTAGATTTCTATCCAGGAATTCCGTCATATAGCGTTATTTGAAGGGGGGAATAGTACCTTCAGAAACAAGCAGACTTATTTCCTCAGTTTCTGGTGCCAGTAAACTACATCCAGCGTTATCTGTGGCATGGCTTCACATGCGATCTTTTCTGTTCTTCAGGCAATAGATGCAAAGAAGAAGATGGACGATGGTCTGGGCTGCCTTGAGTCAGCAGAGGAAGCCAGGAAGAAGCTGCAGAAGGACTTGGAGGGCTTGAGCCAGCGTTATGAAGAGAAGGCAGCTGCTTATGACAAGCTGGAAAAAACAAAGACCCGCCTGCAGCAAGAGCTGGATGACCTCGCCGTGGACCTCGATCATCAGCGGCAGATCGTTTCCAACCTAGAGAAGAAGCAGAAGAAGTTTGATCAGGTATGACTTCAGTCACTGGGCATTCAGTAAATGCATCTTATTGACAGGTCTGCTTTAAGAATACCTAAGCAATGCTGCTTGAAGAATATATATTTATTTCTGTACTAAGGCATAGCATATAGAGTAGAGAAGAAGTAAATTAATTCTGTTCCATGCATACAAGGTTCAGTGATGCTCCTTTTCCCAAAGACGTGACATTTGTATCAAGACCAAGATCAAATTCAAAGCATTGTTTGCAGATCATCTTTGAGAGAAAGTTGGAAATGATAGGTTGGAGGCCTAGGGAATCAGAAGTTTGTTCATTTGGAGTCAGCGCAGTTATTAAAAGTGGGATGGGATGCTTCATTCTTCAAAGCTGCATTTTCTTGGTTCCTTCTGTTCATGGCAGAACACCGATAGTGTAATGAAAAGATGCATGTTTACCTTGTTAGAAAATTGTCAGTAATTTCTCAGAATACTGATGCTGTGCTCTTGTAGCTATTGGCAGAGGAGAAGAACATCTCTGCGAAGTATGCAGAAGAACGGGACCGTGCTGAGGCAGAAGCCCGTGAGAAGGAGACTAAGGCCCTCTCCCTGGCCAGAGACCTGGAAGAAGCCATAGAGCAGAAAGCTGAGCTGGAACGGATCAATAAGCAGTTCCGTGCAGAGATGGAAGACCTGATGAGTTCAAAGGATGACGTTGGGAAAAGTGTATGTATGAAGTTAAAATATCTGGGCAGGAAATGTCACACAGGTGATGCTGTTACTTTGATACTGCAAAAAGCTTATGCTAATGTGAACACAGAGCAATGTAGTAGAGAATACTGGACATATTGTGAGTTAGAATGTTATGTTTGTATGACATTAGTAAAGGGGAAAGGTGGGTTGGAAGAGCCTGGAAATGACCCGAATTGAGGTAGTGGCAAACCAAAAATTAACAGGTACCAGTTACAAGGCAGAGAGGAAGGTATGATGTGAGCCTGCTATGTAAAGTACAGGGATTAGCCAGACAATGGAAGATGGTAACCCTGATGTTTCAAGACAAAAAATGTTATGATAAAGAGGAAGGAAAAGAAAAAAGAAATCAGAGGCTAAAAACTATTTTCTTGAATTCTCTCGGAACCAGAGATGTCCCGCTCTGATAAGTCTGCAGTAGGTCAGGACTGGGCTAACAAACGCTTTTCTCTTTCTCCCCACCACCACACATACATGACCAGAACTAATAGGTAATCATGATTCACAGTGGCAACTTGCAGGTATGCAAGCAACTGGCTTTGAGGGGTATCTGTGCCCTAATACAAGGGACAGATGCAGTGTTCTTGTATCTCGTCTTATGGGAGTGGCTGTTCTTAGACTTCTTTTGCTCCTAGGGTGGGTGAAATTGTCTGCACTGTTTGAGGAAACCTCATGTGTGGTACTGTGCTGTAGGTCCATGAGCTGGAGAAGGCTAAGCGAGCCCTGGAGCAGCAGGTGGAGGAGATGAAGACTCAGCTGGAAGAGCTGGAGGATGAACTGCAGGCCACAGAGGATGCCAAACTGCGGCTAGAAGTGAACCAACAGGCCATGAAGGCACAGTTTGACCGGGATCTCCAGGGACGTGATGAGCAGAATGAAGAGAAGAAGAAACAGCTGATTAGACAAGTAAGAATTGCTCTGTAAATCCTGAAAGTGTTCGGTATACAAAGGCACTTGTGTCCAAAGACAGTTAGACAGACACTGCCAATCCACAGATTCCTGTTAACGGTAACTCTCCAGGCAGCGCTGCAGAGCTGTGAGAGACTTTCCCCCTTGTGTGCGTGGTTGTTCAAACAGCCTTTGTCTATCAAAGGAACCCGTGTAGCTTTATTAGTGAGGAATGTTAGCCCCATCCCCCTGCCAGGAAGAATGAAAACAAATCACATGCTTGCACTTATGTACAGTTTGAAAGGGGGATGCGAAAAATAGATGTTGGGAAATCGAGGAGCTGAAATGCTGATGTCTGTATTTCTCCATACAGGTGCGGGAGCTGGAGGTGGAATTGGAAGATGAACGAAAACAGCGCTCCAGTGCTGTGGCTGCCAGGAAGAAGCTAGAGATGGATCTGAAGGATTTGGAAAGCCATATAGACACTGCTAACAAGAGTCGTGAAGAAGCCATCAAGCAGCACCGCAAACTGCAGGTGAGAGGCTGCAACTGTTTTAGCTGTTGGTGTAGAGCATTTACGGAGGGAAATGGGATACAAGATTTCACCTCATGAGACAGTGTTGCAAGAGGAGCAGAACTTTGTAGCATTTTACTGTGAAAGGCTTACTGGACTTTCAAATATCCTTCGAACCCTGATCTGCCTGTTTTAACTCCCTGGAAGACAAGCTGTAGGCAAAGTCCACTCTAGTGCTTGCCTCATGCCAGTGTTTTTGGAAAGGCTCATGGGGCTGCAAAGCTAGAGGGACTTAAATATCATTTAGGCCTTCTCCTGTCCCAAGACAGTTCTGTTATGCTTTTGTAATTCCTACAGGCATTTGTCTGATCTGCTCTTAGGAAAAACACCAAATCTTCCCTAGACTGTCCATTCCATTGCTTCACTAGAAAGCTTCCTGTGCCTTCCCTTCCCCCTCCCTATATGTGGCAAGATATTTTTTTTTTTCTGCAATTTAAGCAGTCCGGGTTTGCTTCCATTACTACTTCTCCTTGTTACTTGTGAAATAGGAAAAGGATGATTCCTTGTGTTTTCACAGCAGCCTTTTTGGTAGCTGAAGATTAATGAATCCTTGTTTCCATTTTCCCTCCATGTTTCCCATAAGACAAACACAATTCTTTAATGTGGGTGCTCTGAAATTCAACCTTTTTTGCTCTTTCTTTTCAGGCACAGATAAAGGATTACATGCGGGAACTGGAGGACACACGTACTTCCAGAGAAGAGATCTTGGCACAGGCCAAAGAAAATGAGAAGAAATTGAAGAGCATGGAGGCAGAGATGATCCAATTGCAGGAGGTAATGGAATATGTATGCAAGTCAAGGGTTTGTTCATTTTCTTTGGCCAAGAACTAAGTGTAGCAGTCTAAGCTTGAGTGGTTATTTCCTTTCTTTTCTAATTTTTCCTCTGCTTAAATATGAGGTCCACTTGAAAAATGCTGAATTTGGCCCTTTCTTGACAGCTGTGATAGGAGTGTGCAAAACAAAGGAAGCTGTGGGGTGGGTGGGGAACAGACCATATTTTATAATTAAGTCTGGATCTAGCTAGAGACCATACCACCCGTTACCAGTAACTACTTTTTCCTATGCTGCATTAATTGGTAGCTTCCCATTGGATCACTGACCGTCTCATTTTCATTCCAGGAACTTGCAGCTGCTGAGCGTGCCAAGCGCCAGGCCCAGCAAGAAAGGGATGAGCTGGCTGATGAGATTGCCAACAACAGTGGTAAAGGGTGAGTAATGTTCCCTGTTTAAGGGTGGAGGAGCTGGTTTAAGAAAATACTTTGCAGGCTGTTATTTCTGTGTAGGCTGCAGCACACACTGTATGCCCTCTGCTTTTGAATGACTGAGTTTATTTTGTAAAATTAAAAGTGGTGAATTTTCCCCAAGACATTAATGCCACCAACGCTGCTTTAATGATTCTGTGTCCTATAGAGCACTGGCCATGGAGGAAAAGAGACGCTTGGAGGCCCGGATAGCTCAGCTGGAGGAGGAGTTAGAAGAAGAACAGGGCAACACAGAGATAATCAATGACCGTCTCAAGAAAGCAAATCTCCAGGTACCTGTTCACACCACGAGTGCCAATATAGGGGCTCTCTAGTCTGTGTACATTGTCAGACTGCGCTCTGAGTAATGCCATCTGCTGCTTTGGGTACAGTACAGGCCCTCAGAAGTCCGTAGATGCAAGCAAGATGAAACACCTGAATACCACAATACAGAAAATAGGGTGGGCAGTCAGAGCTCACTGGTTTTGATCATTTAAAGAATTGGGTAGCTGGAACAATCTCCCAAGTTTATTTAAAAAACCAAACCAAACCAAAAAAAACAACCCCCAAAAAATCCCAAACAAAACCAAAACCCCCAAAAAACTCCCAGTCCCTTTTTTCTGGATTAAGGGATTATAAGAAGGATTATCTGTAGCACGCTGCTCCAACTTGGCATGCTGAACAGTGCCACAACGTTTGGAAAATTACTTTTCTGCCAGTTCTATGCTTCTTCAAATGGACTAACCATATGGAATTTGTTAGGCTGCTATAGAAACCATGATCTTAATCTGCCTGTTCTCTGCCATATTTTATCTGCCCAACTTTGAGAGTCAAGCATGTTGTTTTCTTAGCGCTCTAAAGCCAAGGAGCTAGGCTGATGGTTTTCCAAATGGCTTGTTCACTCTGGTGGATGAGAGCTTAATTCTTTACCTAGTTGGCTGTCAGACAAAGCCCTGGCTTGGAAGTGGACTTTCACCTTTGAAAGTCAGTATTTTCAAGCTGTTTCCTTGTAGTAGAAGTAGGAAGCAAATAAATGATAAATTAGTAAAGCACACGTATTGGATCCACTTGCCTCGGGATTTTTGTAATTCACTAAGACTGATAATTACTGTGTTAACTGCCAAACTGTGGCCTTCACCCCAGAGAACACTGTATGTGCTTGGCAAATTTAGTCCTAAGAGGAGGTTGATAAACCTGTTATTCAAGGAATTACTTTGAAAATCTGGGTAAATGAAGATATTTTGAGAAGTGCTCTGCCTACAGACAGCTCCCTCTGCATCAGAGTTATTCCGGGTATTCAGCTCACCCCAAGGGTCCTTTTTTCCTTGCGTGTCAGCGTGTGTCTGAGAAATAAATCCGCCTTTCAGGCTGGAGTGCTCGATATGCTGAGTACTACTTCTCTTCGCAGATTGATCAGGTGAACGCTGACCTGAATGCTGAGCGTAGCAACGCGCAGAAGAATGAGAACGCTCGCCAGCAGATGGAGCGCCAGAACAAGGAGCTTAAGCTTAAACTGCAGGAGATGGAGTGTGCAGTGAAGTCCAAGTACAAGGCTACCATCACGGCCTTGGAAGCAAAGATAGCGCAGCTGGAGGAGCAGTTGGACATGGAGACAAAGTATGTCCTAGTAGAAACTCAGTCTGTTTTATAAGCCTCTACTCACTCTGGCATTTTAAGCTCTTCTGAACAAATTCTGATTTGTCTGAGTGAGGGCTTCATCCTAGGTGTACTGGGTAGTACAGATGTAAGATATTGGCAAACCTTCCTTGGTTTTCAGTGTAGAGACTTCTGGCTTCTTTCAGACTTAACCACTCCTAAAACTGCAGCTGTGGTACACTTCGTGTCCCTCTGTAGCTTCTGGAAGGGCCGTATCTGTGTGACATTAGTGCCTTTTGGTAATTTCTGGGAAACAGTGCTTCCCATGCCCTTTTTTCTAAGTTAGGAGGACTTTTGCTATCTTCCTTGTTTCTAACTTGCCTGAGTCAGATCGTCTCGCTGGGGACAATGGGAGATAAACTCTTGTCTGAGCATCGCTGTATTTCTGTATAGGGAGCGCCAGGCTGCCAGCAAGCAGGTGCGTCGTGCCGAGAAGAAGCTGAAAGATATCTTGCTGCAGGTGGATGACGAGAGGCGTAATGCTGAGCAATTCAAAGATCAGGTGTGTATAGCTACCTGCAGCATCAGTGAGTCTTCTGGTGGGAGGATTTCCCTTCTATGACCAAGGCATCATCTGCATGTATGAGGGCTCTAGCATAACCTTCCTATAGCCTTCTCTTCTTATCCCTCACTGTAATGATTACAAGGTGACACAGATGAAAACGTAACGCTTTTAAGGAAAAGCTTGGAGCTGTCGAGTTCTAGATAGCTTCCTTCAGAAAGGGAAGAGGGTTCTTTGGAAACTCTGCTTTTTGCTGCTCTACTGTGCTGTAACTCTGGGGAAACGCTGATCTCTCTCTTCCCACCCCCCCAACATGCTCAGGCGGACAAGGCAAACATGCGCTTGAAGCAGCTGAAACGCCAGCTTGAGGAAGCAGAAGAAGAGGCCCAGCGAGCCAATGCATCCCGTAGGAAGCTCCAGCGTGAGCTGGAGGATGCCACTGAAACAGCTGATGCAATGAATAGAGAAGTCAGCTCCCTGAAGAACAAACTCAGGTAAGGCGGAGCATTTGGTGCGGTACTTTGGCAGCCAGTCCAGTGTGGTCTTGTTGTAACTGCCCACGGTGGCAGCTGCCCACTGCAAACGGCGTGGCCGGGTACTTCCTTCCCTCCTTCCAAAGCCTGCCCTGTCTGGTGAGTTCAGTGAAACCTTGTGTTACTGACGTGCTGTCCGTCCTTCCCTAGGCGCGGGGACCTGCCCTTTGTCGTGACACGTCGGTTGGTCAGGAAGGGTACAGGAGAGTGCTCCGATGAGGAAGTGGACGGCAAGGCAGAGGCTGGTGATGCCAAAGCTACTGAATAAGTCCTCCCATTTGACCCAGGTTACATGTGATGGAGTGACCCATCCACCCTCCCCTCTTCCACTGGACTTGCAGCAAACCCTTTCCTCCTGAACTGGCTGGGGATCTGCAGAGCAAGCCCAGCTCTGTGTATCTGGAGCCATTGGGCATCTGTGTTCCTAGCTTCCTCCTCTTTCCAGTTTCCTAATCCTCTTTGTATTTAATGCCAAAGAGCCGGGGCTCTGAAATCTGACCAGCAGTTTGGCCCCTACAAAGGCCTGTAGAACTGTCCGTGCCGTGTCTGCTGGTGCCTCCTTACAGTTTGGAG